CAGTTACCGCCACCCCCGCGGGCCGGAGCGATGCCCCTGCAGGGACTGGGCTCAGCGACACCGAGCGCCAAACCGGGAACCGGCCCCAAATCGACTCTTCGGGAGCTCCGGGATAACCAGGAGTGCGGTGAACAAACCCGGACGCTGCGAGCTGGGGCAGGCTGCCGGCATCTGTGAATGCCTAAGGGGCAATAAATTCTCTCTATACATCGCTAACAAAATATATATCAGGTGTATGGCTCTGGCCTAAACGGGTATCTGCACTGCACGCTCAACACGGGGAACTAGAAAATAGGAGGAAAACAGCTCAACTCTTTTACAAAAAAGGTAGCAGCAAAAAGGTTTGTGAAACTATTAGAGAGGCTGGGGGTGAAACAGTCCGAACAGCAAATATGCCCCTTATTTGACGCTGCACGGCTCCGGTCAAGGCTCACGGATGCCGAGCGCGGCTCCCAGGGCACCGCAGCAGAGCTCACCAGGCACGGCTCAAGAACGGCGCCACCGGGGCACGCACGGGATTTGAACCCGGATTTAAACGCGTCCCATCACCCCGGAGCCGTGCAAAGGCAACCTCAGCAATTCTGCGGCAGCTCAGCGCCTCCAGAAAAGCAAACACAGAAAGAGAGCAGCCTGCCCGCATGGAAAGTCAGGTTTTGGGCTGCATCCAGACAGACTTCCAAGGGTATTTTGCTGCTGTCTGGATCTGCCTTCGCCCGTGAAGGCTGCCTTTTGTGTGGCTCTCTTAATATTCAGCGCTGTGAGGGCATTTCTGACAGCAGCGGGGCAGAGCCGCGCTCCTCCTTGCCCTCCTGTACCGGCTGGGAAAGCCAAGTCAGCAGAATCGTGAATTAATTCGGGGTTTGCCTCCCTCCTCCAGGTTTGGGGAACCTGCCGCCCTGTGCTGACGCTGACCGAGTCACCGCTGCCGAGTGCCGCGGGGTTCGGGCCGAGCAGCGGGGCAGGGGCGAGCAGAGCGCGAGCGCTGGGAAATGCCAATATAAAGTGCACAGATGCGGGGACCTCGGCTGATCCCTCC